TTTTTAAAAAAGAATTATTTATTTAATTTTATTTATTTATTCATTTATTTTAATTTGAGCAGAGAGAGACACAGGGAGAGAGAGAAAGAGAGAGAGGGTAAGTGAGAAAGAAAGCTGCCAGGTCCAGGACTTGAACTATGGTCAGCCATGTGGGAATGTCCAGCACCTTAACTACCACACCACCTGCTGGTCCCCATCATCTTTTTTTAGAAAAATAGGACCAGTGAGAAAGAGAGAGAGAGAGAGAAAGAGAGAAAGGGTGAAAGCAAGTTGCTAGGTCTGGGACTTGAACTGTGGTTAGCTATGTGGGAATCCAGTGTCTTAACCATCATGCCACATGCTGGCCTCATGTATTTATTTCAATTACACATGTATATATATAAATAAATCCGAATGGATTTTTGGGAGGTGTGTTCTATTAATTCTTTTTGAGATTTGTAACACCGTTTCTATTTTAAACTGTTTCAGATTGTAAGAAAAAAATCAGAAATTTCTACACCTTGTTTGATAGGGCTATTGCAACCATAATTTCAAAACCAATGAAAAAAAGACCATTTGTACTTAACACTATAGATAAAAATTCTAAATAAATTATTGATTACATTCTTCTGTAGCATAGTCATAGATTGATACAACATAACCCATAGGTTTTTTTTTTTAATGGAATAATTATCCCTTGAGAGAAGAAAGATGATAAAGCTAGAAAAATACTCCAAGTAATACTGGTTGAAAACTTCTGAAATTTGGAAAAGCCCATACTCCTACAAAATTTAAGACGTTGAGTGGATCCCAAATAGGAAAAGAGGATAAACCCAAAGAAATCCATACCAAGACACATCATAGTAAGCTTTTGAAAATTAAAGACAAAGATAAAAATCTTGAAAGCATTGAGAGAGAAATACCTCTTTACCTGCAGGTAAAAACAATTTAAGTGACAGAGGGTTTATCAAAATAAAAACTCTGGAGACCAGAAAGAAGTCACAGAACATTTTTTAAGTGCTGCAAAAAAATTAATCAACCCAGAAACTTACATTCAATGAAAATATCCATTAGGAATGAAGGGATACTCAAAACATTCTAGATGAAGGAAAATGAAGAAAGTTTGTTTTCAACAGACCTACCCAAAAGAGTGGCCAAAGAAAATTCTCCAAACAGAAAATTGTAAAAGGAGAAATCTGAGAACATCAGGAAGAAAGGAAAAACACAATGAACAAAAATATGATGAAATAAAATAGAATTTTCTTAAAATTTCTAATGTATTTGACAATTGAAGCAAAAATTATAACTCTGATGTAGTTCTAAATGTATGTAAAGAGGATGTCTGTGGGAATCAGTGGGGACCTCAAAAAATCCTCCACTCCATAAAATAGGTTAGTGCATTGGCAAGAATGATCAAAATTTAACTTTTTCAGAGCTCTTGAAATTAACACAGTTTGCCACACAATCTGGGTAGTATTTATTCAAGAAAAAGATCTGAATCTCGGTAAGAACAGCAAACTTTGTGGCATTTTAACTTGCCCTATTTCCCTGTCTTTCCCCAAAGCCACAGTAGCCTTGGCAATTAATAGCCTAAACACAGGTAAAAGCCAGCAGCTTAGCAATCACTAGAGGGCCATAATGGGGTTGGACCTCCTCCAAAGACTCATTCCCAGAGACTTGTCATTATTTGACCTGCTAGTTGTTTCTCACTTTCAGGAGTTGTCTTTATTCGATCTGACTCAAGAGCTTGCCCAGTGCAAACAAGTTTTCCACAGGGACATTTGTCAGAAATAATCAATGGTGATGAATTAGCATCACAGTTGCCTGAGATAGTGATAATAACTGGGGCAAATGAGCTGACTGAAAACCCAAAAGGAAAAGCTGGAGAATGAGATGTCCATAGGAGGCTCAGAAAAACTCTGACACATTCCTGGAAATCTAAAAGGCCACCTGCACAAATGGGGTTGGTTACATGCCCAGGGCTGTGCATATGTTCAGGAAAGACCTCAAGAAAACACTAAGCTCTCATTCCTGGCTGCTTGAGACTCTAAAGAGCAAAAAGGAAAGGTCAAGGTAGACAATGTCAAATTCCTGGCTGAGGGTTGAACATATGTCCCAAAATGAACACTGTGATCCATGCAAAGACTGGGAGACTTATTGGTTCCAGGCAGTTAAACATATCTATGTGCAAGCATTAGTTTCCCACTAAACCAATTGAACAGAGACTTCTGTGGTCACATATGACAAAATATACAGACTTGACAGCATTAGTTTAGAAAAAGTCACTAAACAAACAAATAGCAGCAACAAAAACAATTTGCAAGAAAAACAAATCCTGGATAGCAGGGAAAATCTGATGTCCAGAGCTGCCACACTATATCATTGACATTTCCAGTTTCAACAGGCAAAGAAATAAGAAAACATGGTCCATGAAGGGGGAAAAAAGAGTCAATAGGAACAGTCCTTGAAGAAATTTATACATTGCACTAAATAAGACAACTCAGCTATTTTCAATATGTTTGAGGAACCAAGAAAACCACATCACAAGAACTAAAAAAAGCATGAGAATAGTGTCTCACTAAATAGAAAATATTAATGAGAGAAAAAATTATAGAAAATAATCAACAGAAATTCTAAAGCTGAAAATTACAATGGTTGAAATAAAAAGTTCACTAGAGAGGCTCAACAGCAAATTTGAGCTGGCAGAAGAATCAAGGAACTTTTAAAGGTAGGGCAACGTGAATATTCAGTCTAAGAAACAGAAAATAAAAATAATGAAGAAAAGTGAACACAGCTTAAGAGACTTGGGGCATCAAACACAGAAAATATATATAATACAGATTCCAAAACCCAAAACACTGAAGAATTAATGGTCACAAACTCCCTGAATTTGATGAAAAACATTAATTTCTACATCCAAGAAACTCAATGAACTTCAACTATGATGAACTCAAAGTAACCTACTTAGACACATCATAACCAAACTTTCCAAACCAAAGATAGAGAATCTTGAAAGCAGCAAGAAAGAAATGACTCATCACATACACAGAATCCTCAATAAGATTAACAGCTTCTTTTTTTCTTTTTTTTTTTTTTTTTTTTAAGTAAGAAAATGGGGAACAGAAGGCAGTGGAATGCCATATCCAAAATGCTAAAAGAAAAACTTGATCAATAATTTTATATACTATCTTTAAAAAATAGGGATAAAATTTAGACTTTAACAGATAAACAAAAACTGATAGAGTTTGCCTCTAGTAGACCAGCCTTACTAGAAATGCTAAAGGGAGTTCTTCAAGCTGAAATTAAAGGGTACTGGATAGTAGTTCAAATCTACATGAAAAAATAAAGAGCACCTCATAAGTAAATACAAAAGTGTATTTTTAATTTTTTTTTAAAAACTTCTTTCTGAATTCAAGTACAACAGCATAAAGCAATAATTTTAACAATACATTGTATAACAATGCAGTGAATGAGTGAAAATGAAAATCTGACATATTAAGATTTGCAGAAGCACATCTAGAGCAGTGCTGAGAAGACAATTTATATCATCCATCGTATGCATTGGGAAAAGGAAAGCCAAAAATCAATAATCTAAGTTCCCACCTCAAGAACTTTGAAAACTTCAAACAGCAAGTAGAAGGAAGGGAAAAATGAAGAACATATATCAATGAAATTTAAAACAAAAAACAATAGAGGAAAATCAGTACAATAAAAGGTGGTTCTTTAAAGAGATCAAAACAATAAATCTCTAACAAGACAGACAAAGAAAAAAAACTATGAATATAGAAATTACTAACGTGAGTGAAACCTGGTATTTTACTCTAGACTCATGGATATCAAAAGGGCATAGGGATACTATGAACAACTCTAAATACATAAATTTGACAACGTTTAAGTGGAATTTTTTTATTTTTAAAAATAGAGTCTTGGGGGCCAGCAGGTGGCATGATGGTTAAGTTACTTGAATCCCACATTGTCAACCCAGTTGGAGTCCTGGACCTGATGGCTTGAAAATTATAACAAATAAATAAGCAAGTGAATGAATGTTAAAAAGAAATAGAGTCCTGCTGTTGAATCCTCATGAGTCACTGATATTATAGTCACACTCCATGGTGCCTGGCCTTCTGGTTGCACAAAACTTGAACCTGGGCCTCTCATGTGGTACCAAGCACAACATTTAGCAGTGAGTGTCACTATGGTTGGGCTGACGACTTACATGGAATGAAGTAATTCCTTATAAAACATAAAGTTTCTTTACTCATCCAATATGAAATAGGAAATTTTATTAGCCTTAAAACTTATAGAAAACTGAACTCATAAACCTCTCCTAAAAAAAGAAATCTCTAAATCCACATAATTTCAGTGGATAATTCTACCAAATGTTTAAGGACGAATTAACACCAATTCTGCACAATCTCTTCCAGAAAAAGTAAGGCAAGAGAATACTTTCCTATTCACTTTTGTGATGCTGATACTATCCATACTATGTGGTCTGACATCAAAGCCAGAAATAGTACAAAATATGAATAGAATTAATCTATTTAAAGAGGAGTTATACTTTATTCCAGGTAGGATTTATTCCAGGGGTACAATGCTGGCTCAATATTAAAAAGCCAATCAATGTAATTTACCATAGTAACCGGCTAAAATGGAAAAATCACACCAACTGAGAGAGGAAAAACACTTGCCAAAATCTGATATCTGTTCTTGATAAAAGCTCTCAGAATAATAGAAATAGAGGGGGGAATTCATTACTTTGACAAAGAGAGTTTATTTTAAAAAAACTATAAAGTTATACTTAATGGTTCTTTCCTCCGAAGACACGGAAAAGGGCAAGGAGGTCTGCTGTCACCACTTTTACTCAATATTATGCTGGACATTCTCACCAGGACAATGAAGAAAGAGAAGGAGAAAAAAGAGAAGAAACAGAAATAAATATCTTTATTGCAGGCGACATGATTATCTACATAAAACTCCCAAGGAATCTGCAGAAAATTTCCTAGAAAACAGTAAGTGAGTTCAGCAATGTTTCAAGAGAGCTTTATAAAGTAGGTAGTTGCGGGTATGAACTGGGACTGGTTGGTTTTCATAAAAAAGTAGTGTATAGTGAAGTTGTTGCTATCTCTAGGAAGTGGCTAACCCAACAGAGGTAGACTCCAGGGGTCAGCAGGGCCCCAGATGGTGAAGCATGAGAATACAGAAAATAAAAGACATGGTTAACATACCCAGGCCCATGACTTCATGCTGGTTCTTGTATCTGGTATGGGCTTCCCTTGCTTGTGGCCTGGCTGGTTTCTTTTCCTCCTATGGGTCTCAGCTTAATAGTTGCTCTTTCAGAAACAGCTCCTGGCACTCTGAAGTCCAGAGGTCCCTGCTTGCGCTGTGTTCCAAAGCAGGGCCCAGTTTATTTCATTCCCAGCATTCACATTTTTAGTTGTGTGTCAGTGTACATTATGCCCTCCAGGAGGGCAGGGCCTCGCCCACCGTGTTGTCACATCCCCAGGGCCTGGCAAAGGGCCTTGCACACAAAGGGCACTCAGTAAATATTTCTTTAATGAAAAAAATAACTGCCTGAGGATCATAGAGTCTAAGTGACTTTCCAAGGGTGTACGGCTGGTAAGCAGAGAAAGCAGCAGATGAGATTAGTTCTTTTAACTTCAGACTTGTTTATTTCTTATTCTTTGGTACTTCCCAAAGCCACAAAAGAAATCACAGTCTGGCTTTGCCTGGCATCGAGGCCCCGTGAGAAACGTCAGCAGCAGCACCACTTGATTCACTGGGTCTGAGGTGCTGAGTCCCTTGTTTGAGGGAGACAGCAGCTTAGCCAAAGGTCTGAACGAAGACTACTGTCTTCTTGTCAGGGTCTCCTGGTCCTGGCAGATGCCCAGAATTACATAAGGACCTTGAAATTTTAGGTTATTAAGCCCATTTCAGGGGCTCAAGAGATATTTAATTCTGTAGGCCTGTTAGAGTTGGCAGATTTGTTAGATAAAAATACAGGATGTTAAGCTATATTAAATTTCAGATAAGCAACCATGCATTTTGAAATACAAACATGTCTTAATGTTGCATGGTACATATTTATGAGGAACAACTATCTATTCACTGTTTGTCTGCCATTCGAATCGAACTGGGCACCCTGTATTTTGTCTGGTTACCTTACCTGGGGTATATCCCCAGGGACTGTATTTTAAAAATGGGTCTCTCAGTTGATTCTTTCCATTACCGATGCTGGGAATAACTGCAAATGCCAATCAGTAATTTTAAGTGTTAATTTTGCTTTAGTTACTAATTGGTTAGTTTATAAAGTTTTACTTGATTTAGGAATCAGAGTCCTCGTCTTGACAGCCTCTCGCTGGCACACAAGACTGGAGAAGTCATTCTCCCCAGGGTTCATGTTGTACGAAGGCATTTATGGTAGACAGAGATGGGCTGGAGTGCCTTGAGGGCAGGTAGAAGACTAACTAGCAAGTGCGTTGTGTGCGTTTTACTTCTGCTGGAAGGTGGATGAGATGGCAGACAGAAGGGGCAACGCTGGAGAATGACATCTAGGGGGATCTTATGGTTTTGTTGAGATGAGGAGATAGATGATGACACCAGTAACCAGAACTGGGGACACTAAGAAGCAGAAGTGGGGAAAGAAAAACATAGAATGTTTTTGGAGATACTTGTCTGTTCCTTTGTACCTCCAGGTGAAGCTTACCAGACAGGTCAGTGATGGGTCTGGCATTTGGGAGTGTGGTCTGAGCTGGGCATATTGTTTGGGGGTCATCGATGTGTAGGTGGTCAAGGACAATGGCTGTGAGTGCAGACACCTGCAGCAAGGACAGAGCGAAGGGAAAGCACGTCAGCAGCCAGTCCCCTTCATCCCCTGGGTACGGTCCACCTAACTAGCAGTGTCTGACACAGAGTTCCACCCAGTCCTGCTGTGAGGAAGCTGCCCTGGCGCCCCCACACTCTGTAATCTGAGGGGTTTATTTGAAGCAACCATGGTCAAGAGTGGTCATGGTACTGGTTCTGTGATCTTCGACATACTGCCCCAATCTGTACACAGTGAATGAGGCCCACGTGAGAATCGTTATTTACACACATGGAAAAATGATCATGTTTATGGGGTGCTCAAGATGACAATCTTAAAAAAGACATATGGGAAGGATACATGAACTGAAACCTACAGGCATTGTTCCCTCGGCCTCTAGAAAGGTTGGGCAAGGTAATGTCGCCTCTCTGTATTGTGCCCCTGTGTTGCATCTGCAATTGTGTAGTTGTAGTGCCTTCCTCAGATGGCTGCTCTGAGGGGTGTAAATGAGATATCCAGGTGTGCATGTATGCATACATATGCTTATATAGGCACAGATGCATGTACACATGTAGGGGTACACACATACACACATTCAGTGCTTGGAACAGGATTTAACACTCAGAAACACTCAATAAATGTTAGCTATTTATGTGTTGTTTTGTATCAAATTGCACATAACTATTCAACTTGCTATGAGTAATTTCCTGGTCAGAACTGAGACAGAGTGAAACCTGTTTTTCTTCCCCATACCCACTGGGTAGAATTGGGGCCTCCTTCATGCCATTTTCATTTGTTTTAAGTAAGTCTAGAGCTGTATAAGCTCCTCAGCCTCTTTTTTTACCCTCAGTAGAAAGAGCTTTGGTCTGGGAAAAAGAACTACTGGCCTTATTCATGTCCACTTGTAAAATGTTGGTAAAACTTCTTGCCACACTGCTATCCCTTTTCCTTCAGTCTCCTCTCAGAATTTTGGGCATGCATACACGTGCACCTGGCATGATGTTCAAGCCACCAGGTCAAACCATGGGACTCAAACCATGGAGCTGGCAATATGGAATCCAGCGCCATAAACTCCTTGCCACCTGCTAGCCCAATATGATTTCTATTAAAAAAAATTATGTAGAGACTTGTTTTCTGTCCTATTATTTGATCAGTCTTAGAGAATATTTTATGTGTAGCAGAATGAAATTCATAGTCTATATTTGCTGGAGACATGTTCCAAACTGTCAGTTCCATTTGGTTTATGCTATCATTTAGTTAATCTCCTTGTTTAATTTTTGTTTAGGTGTTGAAATCCCCAATAATTGATGTATTGGAGTTTATGTCTTCCTTTAGGTCTAACAGACTTTGTTTTATCTATTTGGCTGTTCTGTTGTTGGATATATAAATAGTTTTAATTGTTATACCTTCGTGGTGAGTTGAGCCCTTTAATACTACATAATGACCATCTTTTTCTTTTTACAGATTTTTATCTTGAATTCTATCTTGTATGATCATAGAATAACCTTGCCTTTTTGTTTTCTATTTGTGTGCAACAACTTTTTCCAAATTTTCATTCTTAATCTGTTTGTGCTTTTACTGATAAGGTGTGTGTCTTGTAAGCAGCATACAGAGGACTCTTTGTTCTCTCTCTTAAAAAAAATTCAGTCAGTCCATATCCTTGACTGGGGAGTTTAGTCTGTTTACATTCAATGATATTTTTAATATGTATGGATTTACACCTGCCATTTTGCTGCTTGGTTCCTGATTGTTCTGTGCTTTCTTCTTTCCTTGCCCCTTCCCCTCATTATTACTTACCTTTGCCATTTGGAAATTTTCCATAATGATGAGGATTGAATAATTTCTCTTTCTTCTCTGTATAGTGTTCTACTGGTCAGTTTCATACCTTCATGGATTTCATAGTGTATTTATCTTTCCTTCATTTCCAGATAGTGTTCCCTAAAGTATATACTGGTGTGGTATTGGTAAATTATTTCCGGTTATGTTTGTCTGGGAATTATTTTATTTCTCCTAATAGTAAGGAAAATTTTGCTAGGCGTAGTATTCTTGGTTGAAACAGTTTTTTTTCCAGAATATTTATATAAACAATTATTTATTTAATTTTATTTATTATTTTTTAATTTGACCAAAGAAACATAGAGAGAGAGACAGGGAGGGAAAATGAGAAAGCAAGCCACCAGGTCCAGGACTCAAACTGTGGTCAGCTATGTGGGAGTCCAGCACCTTAACCACCTTGCCACCAGCTGGCCCTTCATTTTTATTTTTATTTTTATTTTTAATTTTAATTTTTTTGTTTTAGGTTTTGCTATAAGGCATGTGCAGTTGCTAGAGAAAGAGAGAGAAAAAGAAAGAGAAAGGGAAAGTGAACTCCCAACCTCTGCAACCAGGGAAACGATGGCCATGTTACAGTCCCTTCTCCTCTAGTCTCCTCTTGGGATTTTGGGCATGTAAGCACACATACCTGGTATGATTTTCAAGCCACTGCATCCAGCGCTTGAACCATATAGTTAGTCATGTGCAATCCAGTGCCTTAACCTCTGTACCACCTCCTGGCTTGCAGAATATATATATATTTTAAGAGTTTTCTTCCATAGGGCACATGCACTCGCTGGAGAGAGACAGAGAGAGAGAGACAGAGATAGAGGCAGTGAGAGGTAAAGAGAAAAATGACCCCCCCCCCCCCCGCGGGTAGGATGGTCACACTGCAATCTTTTCTCTTCCATTCTCTTCCTGGGATCTTGGACATGCACACACATGTGCCTGACATGATTTTCAAGCCACCAGGTCTAGGACTTGAATCTCAGTTGGCCATGTGAGAATCCAGGGACATAATCACTATGTCATCTGCTGGCCTGGTCTGCAGAATTTTTAATATGTCACCCCATTCCATCCTGTCTCATAAGGTTTTTGCTGAGAGGTCTGAAATTAGTCTGATGGGGTATCCTTTATAAGTAGCTTGGTGCTTCTCTCTGGCCATTTTTAAAGACTATTTATCTTTATCTTTTGACATTTGCCTTGTAAAGAATCTTATGCTGATTTTATTTGTTGTCCTATTTTCTTTTTTTGAGAGGTTTTTGCTCTAGGGTGCATGCGCTCGCCAGAAAGTCAGAGGCAGAGAGACAGAAAGTGAGACATCACCCCCCAGGGGGGATGGCCATGCCACAATCCCTTCTCCTCCATTCTCTTCTCGGGATCTTGGGCATGCACGCACACACGCCCGGTGTGAGTTAAAGCCACCAGGTTCTGAACTCAAATCATGGTAGACTACATGGGAGTCCAGCGACAAAGCCATTATACTAACTGCTAGTCCCTGTCCTATGAATTTTCTATATCTGTATCTCTCTTTAGAGTTGGGACGTATTCAGGAAATATTTCATGAAATAGATTTTCTATGCCTTTTCTTATCCCTTTGCCTTTTGGGATATCCATTATTGGCTATTCAGTTGCTTAATGGTGCCTCAAATTTCCTGTATGTAATATTAATTTTATTTATCATTGTTATTATTATTATTATTTTAATTTGATGAGAGAGATAGAGAGAGAGAGAAAGTGAGAAAGCAAGCTGCCAGGTCTGAGACTTGAACCATGA